CGTCGGCACAGACGCCAATGACAGCCTGCTTGAAGTGGCGCGTGCGGTGGAAGAGGTCCCTGATCAGCGGGTCCATGCCGACCGCCCAGAGCGTCCCAGACCAGGGGCAGCCCTGGAGGATGCCAGAGCCCAGCCAACAGAAGATGCGCATGTGACCGCTGAGGTTGGTCCAGGCCAGTGGGAACAGGTAGATGGCATCCACCATGTTGAGGATCGACGGAGGGAAGCCCCCCAGTAGCAGCACGGTGCGAAGGAAGTGGCGGCACATCGAGGGGAACGCGTCGCCGAAGTCGAACATCATCATCAGGGGATCTCGTTCAGACAGTTGCGGCGCCATAGCCACTATTCTCGACTGCGCATCCATCATGACCACGTGCTCGATGAAGCGACGACGAGGGAGGAAGCCTTTCTGTGCATGGTGCGCGTCCTTGGCCACTATGGACTTGATCAGGAAGTTGCCCATGGCCGCCACGATCTTGCAATCCGTGTTCTTGAGGGAGAGAGGACGCGTTGCCTTCGCCAGCCTCGTCACGGTCTGGCGGTCTTCAGGTTCAGACCCCTTGGGAGTGAAGATCAGGAGCGACTCATTGAAGTCCATGGGCACAGGGAGACCTCTCATGATCTCGATCGTGACATTGAGGAGCACTTGTGCAGCGATCGGTGTCTTCTTCCAGGCCATGTACGGAAGACCGTCAGGGCCTGGAGCCGAGTTGTTCAGGGAGCGGATGAGGTGCTGCATCTTGCCAAGCGTGGGGATGCCCATGTCCGAGCAGTCGAACTTCTTCACATGCTTCTCGAGGTAACGTTGAACGTGTTGTGTGCAGCTCGGCTTCGGCTGGAAGACGGGTGCCCACTGTTTCTGTAGCTCCGCGATCATCTCGTCGGGGTTGGACGTCTTGGAGTGGTCATGCAGGACCTCGATTGCCTTGAGCTTCAGCACCTTTCCAGAGGGAGCCCACAGCTTGCCACGCCGTGCGATCGCCCTCTGCATCCTCCGAAGACGAAGACGTTCACGAGCAGGAGTGCCAGCCGCCATCTCCTGAGAGTGAAGGGCTTCCAATCGTTCATCTTGGCACTGTTGTTGCAGGGACTCGAACTTACGGCTGAACTCCAGGGGCGTCTTGAGCGAAACCTGCGGGGGAGACGAGAGGTCAAGGAAGGAGGCGCCAAGCTCCGTTCGCGCAGCCAGAGTGCGGGCCGCTTTCTCGTCGTTCCTCCATACTGCACGGGAAATCGATCGGCAGGTAGTCAGCGCAGCAGCAGTACAGGGGGCTCTCGAATTGGTGAGGTCGTCGCGAGTCAGACGAGCAGCTTCTCGTTGGAGGCGCTTAAGTTCTCGGAGTTGGGTGAACGGGACATAGGACTGCCACGGGGAGGCTGCCAGCAGAGTGTCCAGGTGTTGCCCGAAGAGCGGGTGTTCGAAGATATACTTCGGGATCGGCTGACGCAGTCCATCATCTTCCTGTTGTCGATGTGCGAAGCGTAGGTGGACAGGCGCGCGGTCAGATATTCCTCGATCGTAGAGATCTTCGGGAGCGAGTGGGACATCAGCACGGGCGCACCATTGGAGCAGTAACCAGGGCGGCGAGCTGATGTAGATTTTGTCAATGCGCGAACACTGCCGAGACTGTTCAATGTAGTGCGTGGGGATCTCGGGGTCCACTTCCGTCATGTCCGAGAGAACCGATTCCCAAGCCAGCTGGTGTTCGGGGTTATGGCGTCGGAGGCGGGGGAGGCCTTTGTTGACCAGGGGCGCAGTCATCTCAAGCGGGGCTTCGTCCATGAAGTTGAAGTCGCCCATGACCAAGATCGTGATCCGCTCCGGATGCTGGGCAGCAGTGTTCACCTCGGCGCGGAGAGATCGCGTGACCTTGTCGACCTCCTGCGCAGTCAGCCTGAAGTTGTGGACGTTGTAGATCACCACCATGTTCGGGAGAGACCCTTGGGCAGCCTCAGCCTCCGTCGAGGTCTTGATGAGGAGGCGCTGCGCTCGGCCAGGGACCAGTTCGGTGTGCGTGAAGCGGGACTCGTCGGCAGCCACGGATTGCGGGAGTCCAGGGACGATGATGGCCACGCCCCCAGTGCCACGCTCTGGGATGGAGGAGAAGACCGACGCCTCAATGTGGGCCAGGTGCACAGCATGTTGGAGCTCAGCATGTGATCCATGGACTTCCTGCAGAGCAAGCACCGAAGTGGCGCGAAGCGCCTCCACCATGCACTGTGTCTTGCGTCGGCGCTGCAGCATGTTGTTGCACAAGAGGGCACGGGCATTCCACGTGGTGAAGGAGACCTGCGGGTGCATGTGGGCTGCCCTCCACGGGGCAAGCGTGCGACTAAATCCGCCACTGCACCTCCCTCTCCTCCAGGGTGGTCCTGAAGTAGTCCTCGAAGCTCTTCTTGATGGCCTCCCTGTTGATCGAGTGCGTGGAGCAGCCCTCATAGTTGAAGAGGAGGCGAGACGGAGTCTCACGCGTGGCGCCCACCACCACTGAGACCACAGGCATGTTGTTGCAGAAGATGATGCCCTGCTGGCGATCAGCTCGCCAGCGCTTGTCAGGAGCATGCTCTCTGCCGAATTGCGCCAACTTCTTAGACTGGTATTCGCATCGGGCGGACTTCGCTGATCTGTCGAGGCCCAGGTAGAGGCGGGAGTTCTGTCCGTGGATGTTGGCCACCTCTGTCTCCAGCCAGGAGCCATCCGCATTCTTGAGCTTGGAGTAGAAGAGGCGAACCTTGCGGGACGCAGAGTTGGCATCCCCTGAGAACTGGACCACGAAGCGACGGGCGGGGCTTTTGCCTTGAACAGACCACTGATCAGACTCCAGCTCGCAGCGATCCATGATGGGCTGGATGCTCTCTTTGAATCGCTCCAGGGAGAAATTCTCCGTGGCCGTGCCCACGATGATGCTGGTGTCGGCAGCCCGATCCCACTCCAGGAGGTTCTCGTAATCCTTGATCGGGATCTGCGCCTCCTGCATGTGGAGCTGTTTGCGCAGCTCCGCCAGTTGGGTCCAGATCTGCTTGTTCGAGTCCTCCAGACGCTGGGACGTTGACTGCAGCTCTGTGATCTCACCTCGGAACTGTGCATTCTGCGAGGCCTGCTGGGACACCACCGCCGCCAGGGGGCCCTTGAGCTGTTCTCCGAAGTTCGCGATGACCTCAGACTTGACAGCGGCCAGCTTCGCGTCCAATTGCTTCGTGAGGAAGTCCTGTGAGGCAGCGATGGCCGCCTGCACTGCGTCCATGGGGTCCTGCGTCCCAGCAGCACGCTCGGGGCCTCCGTCCGCGGTGCGGGGTCTCTTGGCCCAGGGGTCAGCGCCAGGCTGCGCCAGTGGGTCGCCACCACCGTCAGCTGCAGCGGCGCTGCCAGAGGCCCGAGGCGAGGGAGCGCCAGTAGCAGCACGAGGGGTGCCAGGAGCAGAAGCCGCAGCACCCGCGGGCATCGGGTCGGGAAGTGAGCCTCTTGCTCCCAGGGGCCAGACTGGGCGGAGCAAGGGCGAGCGAGAAAGAAAGCACTGTGCGCCGATGGCGCGCGAAGAGGAACTTCTTGTCCTGCGACGGGAGGGACGGCAAGCAGAAGTCCCAGGGACTCGAGCTGCTGCCCACCCCCCGCCATCTTGAGCCAAAATGGCTACGGACATATACAAACACATGTGTAGCTAGATGTGTGTATTATTAAGTTTCGTGTATATGTAATTACAAGTGCATATAATTATACAGATGGATGCATGCAGACATACATGCATGCATACATACATTCATACATACATACATATATATATATATACATATATATGTGCATACATGTATGCCTACATGCATGCATGCATGCATGCATGCATGCATACATACATACAGAAAGACATGCATACACGTACACATACACGTGCACATGCACATGCACATGCACGTACACGTACACGTACACCTACACATACACATGCATACATGCACGTGCACATACCCATACACCTGCACGTACACATACACATGCACGTACACATACGCATACACATTCACGTACAAATCCACATACACGTACACATACACCTACACATACACATTCATAGACATACATAAACGTACACGTATACATATACATATACGTATACATACGTACAAATATATAGCAGTCATAAATGCATGCATGTACACATGCTCGCATACATATATTCATACATGCATGTGCAAGTGCATGCATATGTACGGACAGCTTTACGTATTTGCATACATGCATACATATATAGATAGATAGATAGATAGATAGATAGATAGATAGATATATATATATACACACACACATACATACATGCATGCATACATACATGCATGCATACATACATGCATGCATGCATACAGACATGCAAACACACAGACAGACAAACTGACATACATACATGCACACACAAACACGTCCGTATACATGCATACGTACATGCATACACGCATGCATGCATACATGCATGCATACATGTATACATACACACATGCATACATACATACATACATACCTACAAACAACCAAACAAACAAATATACGTACATACATACATAGGGGTGCGTCCGCAATGCGCTGTAATACTCCTTCCGAATGTACAAGGTGCTGCGCTCGGACGTGTAAAGAGTGGACCAACGGAGGAGGGGACGACGATGGCGGAGGGAGAGGGAACCATTCAACCAAAGTGAGGGTCGGGCTGCTTGTGCCAAAGAAAAACGGAACGAGAAACAGCGGGAACGAGAGAAGAGATCGAGAGAAAGCGAGCGAGAGACAGAGAGACAGAGACAGAGAGAGGCAGAGAGGACTGCGCATGTAGAGAGAGAAACTACGAAAAAGTCGAAAGGAAGAGACAGCGGCAGCGGCAGCGGCAGCGGCAGCGGCAGCGGGAGCGAAAGCGGAAGCGGCAATGGCAGCGGCAACGACTGTTGCAGTGGCAACTGCAAAAGTAACGGCGGCGACAAAGTTCTCCAAATGTCCCTTCCGACCAAAAAAACTCGGGCGCTCCTTCTGGAATATCAGCCGCGCCAGCGAAAGACGCGCCTTCTGGCCGGCGCTGAGCGCGAGCCCCCAGTCCTTCTCGCAATCCAAGCCGTCCTCGGTGCACTGGATGGGGCAATAATCGCCCCCCCCACCCTTGGATCTGTTGGGGGGGGTTGAGCACGTGCTGTCGGAATGGGTGGAGGGGGGGTCGGAGGAGGAGGAGGAGGAGGAGGAGGAGGGGGAGGAGGAGGGGGAGGAGAAGAAGGAGGAGGAGGAGGAGGAGGGGGAGGAGGAGGAGCAGGAGGAGGAGGCAGGGGAGGAGGAGAAGGGGGAGGCCGAGGAGGAGGAGGCGAAGGAGCAGGAGGAGCAGGAGGAGGAGGAGAAGGAGGAGCTGCGGTGGACTGAGGAGGAGAAGAAGGAGGAGGAGGAGGAGGAGGAGGAGGGGGGGGGATGGGCAAGCTCCGTCGGAAGGTTAGTCGCCCACCCCTCGATTACTCGATTACTATCCCCAGAGCAGGAGCCGGGGAGCGCGAGTCCGAGCAGGAAGGCGAGCGGGGCGTGGGTAGGCCCCGAGCAGCGTCCGCACTCTTCCCGTGAGACATCATTGAGGCCGAGATTCGCACCGTCGAGCGCTGCGGCCTTGCAGGTTGCCTCGCGCTCCACGGGGCCCCCGCGGCAGGACCGGCCAAGACGAAATCGATACGGCAGGATGCGGTGCCGGCACGCCCCCTGTCACGCTCGGGCCGAGGCCACCTCCTCCGCTGGCTGCTCTGGGGGCCACCTCCTCCTCCCGCATCCTCCGTGCTGCCCTGCTCTCGCGGCGGGCCTTGAAGCTGCCCGCGCCCGCCAGCATCGCATATGTGGGGGAAGTGGGAAGGAGAAGGCCTTCTCAGAAGGCTCGGAAGTCCCCCAGCCGTCTGAGAAGTTTTATGGGCCTTCCCCGAGGACACAGGAAAAAGACTTCTGAGAAGGCGCGAGGGTTTCTGAGAAGTCCCGCCGCCTTCCGAGAAGGCCTTCTCTCCTTCTCATTTCCCCCTCGCCGCCGCGAAAAGCGTCCAGCCATTCGGATGTGCGCGTTCCCACACGAAGCGGACACGACGTGGGACGCGCGTCTCCCAACGGGGGAGGCGGCCGCCGCACCCCCAGATCCTACACACATTTTCATGTGCGAGCTGCACTTCACCGCGCACGGGAATGCGCGCTGGATGGCGGAGATGGCGACAAGTCGTGGTCAGATTGGCCCGTGAATCCAGGTGCAAATTGAACGTGGGATCCACCGTGCACCTTCCTCCTCCTCCTCCTCCTCCTCCTCCTCCTCCTCCTCCTCCTCCTCCTCCTCCTCCTCCTCCTCCTCCTCCGCATCATCCTCCTCATACGCGGACGAGTTAATTTCCTCACACGTGGCCGCCTAATCCTCCTCCGTATCCTCCTTCTCCTCCTCCTCCTCCTCCTCCTCCTCCTCCTCCTCCTCATCATCATCATCATCATCACCATCACCACCACCACCACCACCTCCACCATCATCATCATCATCAGCATCATCATCAGCATCATCATCATAATCATCATCAGCAGCATCAGCATCCGCATCCTCATCATGATGATGATCATCATCATCATCATCATCATCATCATCATCATCAGTAGCAGCAGCAATATCCTCAGCATCCTCGTCGTCATCATCAGCAGCATCATCACCAGCATCAGCATCATCATCAGCATCATCAGCATCATCAGCATCATCATCAGCATCATCATCAGAAGCATCATCATCATCATTAGCAGCATCATCCCCATCATCGTCAGCATCAGCATCAGCATCATCATCATCATCATCAACATCATCATCAGCAGCATCATCACCCGCATCAGCATCATCATCCTCCTCCTCCTCATCGTCCTCCTCCTCCTAACCCGCATCCCCGTATTGTTCTCGTCCTCATCCTCATCCTCGTCCTCCTCCTCCTCCTCCATCCTCTTCCTCCTCTTCCTCCTCCTCCTCCTCCTCCTCCTCTTCCTCCTCCTCCAACTCCTCCTCCTCCTCCTCCTCCTCCTCCTCCTCCTCCTCCTCGTAATCCACCCCTCCCCCCTCCTGCTAATCCTCCCCTTCCTCCTCCTCCTCCTCATCCTCATCCTCCGCCTCATCATCCTCCTCCACCTCCTCATCCTCGTCATCATCATCAGCATCATCTGCATCATCATCCTCATCGTCATCATCATCACCATCAGCAGCAGCATCATCATCAGCATCATTTTCATTACCACCATTATCATCATCAGCGTAATCCTCATCAGCAGCAGCATCAGCATCAGCATCATCCTCATTAGCATCATCATCCTCATCATCCGCATCATCATCGTCACCATCAGCATCATCCGCATCAGCATGGTCATCATCATCATCAACAGCATCATCCTCTTCATCCTCGTCCTCATCCTCATCCTCATCCTCAACCCCCTCACTCCGTCCATCCCCCCCTCCCTGCATCCCACCGTCAGTCCCCCCTCCCACTCCTCCTTCCATCCATCCATCTCCCCCCCATCTCCCCTCCTTCCCTTCCGTCATCCCTCCCCCTCTCCCTCCTCATCCTCCTCATCCTCCACCTCCTCCTCCTTATCATAATCCTCGTCCTCCTCCTCCGCCTTATCCTCCTCATCCGCCTCATCCTCATCCTCCTCGTCCTCCTCCTCCCCCTCCGCCTTCTACGCATCATCATCACCATCAGCATCATCATCATCATCAACAGCATCATCATTGTCATCATCAGCAGCAGCATCCGCAACATCATCATCATCATCATCATCAGCATCATCATCATCAGCATCATCATCATCATCATCATCATCAACAACAACATCATCGTCTTCCTAAACCTCATGCTCCTCCTCCTCCTCCTCCTCATCGTCCTCTTCCTCATCCTCCGCGTCCTCCTCCTCCTCCACCTCTTCATCCTCATCATCCTCCTCCGCCTGCGCCTTCGCCTCCGCCTCCTCCTCCTCCGCCGCCTCCGCCTCCTCCTCCTCATCCAACTCCTCCTCCTCCTCCTCCTCCTCCTCCTGCTCCTCCTCCTCATCCTCCTCCCCCCCTTCAGCATCATCATCCTCCTCATACCAATCCTCATCCTGCTCCTCCTTCCTCCGCCTCCTCCGTCTCCTCCTCCTCGTCCTCCTCCTCCTCCGTCGCCTCCTCCTTCTCACAATCATAGCATTATCAATATTAATCGTACTGGTATTACTGATCGTGTTACCACTGTGCTTAATATTACTAGTGGAATTAATAGTGTTATTGGTAATAACATTGGTACTCCCATCATTATCAGTAGGAGTAGAAGTATTAGTATTGTCAGTGTCAGTATTACTATTGTTGTGTTTTCTCATTGTTTTAGTATTGTTGATATCGTGAGTAAAAACGAGGTTATAATTGAAAGTAGCAATGCCGTTGTTAATCATAATATTAGTAGTATCAGTAATAGAATTGGTGGTACTAGTTCAATAATACCCGTGTATGACTAAGGCCGTATTAGTATTACGATTCTGATGTTGAATACTAACCGTCATCGTCAGCATTAGTAGTGGTAGTATTCTTATGTAGGTTGTTGCTGCCCTCCGTCTGCATCCTCATGATTACCATCATCAGCATCAGCAGCCTCAGCATCAGCATCATCATCATCGTCGTCGTCATCACCATCAGTATTACCAAAATCATCATTATCAGCAGCATCACTAGCATTAGCATCACCAGTATCGTCATCATCATCATCCCCATCATCATCAGCAGCATCATCAGCATATAATCATCAGCAGCATGATCATCATCATGATAATATTCAGCATCAGCATGAGCATCATCATCATCCTCAGCATGCTCATCATCATCAGCATCATCAGCATCCTCATCATCATCAGCAGGGTCATCAGCATCCAACATCATCATCATCAACAGCATCATCAGCATCCTCATCATCATCAGCATCATCAGCAGCATCGTCGTCATCATCATCATGATCAGGAGCATCAGCATCAGCATCATCGCAATCATTATCATCCTATTCATCCTCATTCTCCATTCCCCCCCCCCGTCCTCCTCCGCTTCATCCTCCTCCTCCTCCTCCTCCTCCTCCTCCTCCTCCTCCTCCCCCCCCCTCCTCCTGCTCCTCCTTATCCTCCTGCTCCGCCTCCCCCTCTGCCTACTCCTCCTCCTCCTCCTCCTCCTCCTCCTGCTACCCCTCCTCCTCCACCTCGTCATCACCATCCTCATCATCCTCATCAGTATCATCCCAATCATCATAAGCATCATCAGCATCGTCAGCCGTATCATCAACATCACCATCAGCGTCAGTCGCATCGTCAGCATCCGGATACTCACCATCATCATCAAACTCATCCTCATCATCATCAGCATCATCAGCATCAGCAGCACCATAATCAGCATCAGCATCATCGACATCATCAGCATCCTCATCATCGTCATCACCAGCATCATCGACATCATCCTCATCATCAGCAGTATCATCATCATTTGCATCGGCATCGGCATCATCATCATCAGCATCAGCAGCATCATCAGCAGCATCACCATTATCAGCAGCATCGTCAGCAACATCAGCATCATCATCATCATCAGCAGCAGCAGCATCATCATCGACATCATCAGCATCAGCATCAGCATCGTCAGCATCGTCAGCATCGTCAGTATCAGCACGATCGTCACCATCAGCAGCAGCACCAGCAGCGGCATCAGCATCATCATCTTCAGCATCATCAGTATCATAATCACCCTCATCAGCATCATCAGCATCATCAGCATGATCATCAGCACCACCATCACCTGCAGCATCAGCATCAGCAGCATCAGCAGAAGCAACATCGCTATCGGCATCAACATCAGCAGCAGCATCATCAACATCAGCATCGGCATCATCATTACCATCATCGTCATCATCAGCATCATCAGCAACATCAGCAGTACATTCAGCAGCCTCATCATCGTACTATTCATCAGCGTCATACTCAGTATCATCATCAACATCATCATCAGCATCCACATCATCATCACTATCAGCCAAACCATCATCATCATCGTCATCAGCATCCTCATCATCAGCAGCATCATCATCAGCATCATCATCATCTTTCTCCTCACCCTCCCTCCCCCATCATACTCGTCTTCATTCTCCTCCTGCTCCTCCTCATCCTCCTGCTCCTCCTCCCCCTCCTCCTCCTCCTCCTCCTCCTCCTCATGCTACTCCTCCTCCTCCTCATCATCACCATCCTCATCAGCCTGATCATCACCATCATCATCATCATCATCATCATCATCATCATCATCATCATCATCATCAACAATATCATCATCCTCATAACCAAAATCATCAGCAGCATCAGCATCATCATCGTCAGCCGTATCATCAACATCACCATCATCAGCAGTATCGTCGTCAGCATCCGCATCATCCCATTATCATCACCCTCATCATCATCATCATCATCATCATCATCATCATCATCATCAGCCTCATCATCCTGATATTCATCATCAGTGTCGTCGTCATCATCATCACCACCACCATCATCGTCATAATCATCAGCAGCATTTGCAGCATCATCGTCATGTGCATCATCATCATCATCATCAGCAGCAGCAGCAGCATCATCAGCATCAGTATCATCATCATCAACAGCATCACCAGCATCATCGTCGTCATCTGCATCCTCTTCCTCCTCGTTATCTCCCCCCAGTCCTGCTCCTCTTCCAACTCATCCTGCTCCTCCTCGTCATCCTGCTCCTCCTCCTCCCCCTCCTCCTCCTCCTCCTGCTACTCCTCCTCCTCCACCTCATCATCACCATCCTCATCACCCTCATCATCCTCATCATCAGCAGCAGAATCATGTTCAACATCGGCAGCCGTATCATCAACATCACCATCATCATCAGCATCATCGTCAGCATCCGCATCATCCCCATCATCATCCTCATAATCATCACCATCATCATCAGCAGCAGCAGCAAAATCAGCATCATCCCCCTTCCTCCTCTTCCTCCTCCTCCTTCCTCTCCTCCTACTACTCCTACTCCTGCTCCTCCTACTCCGCGTCCTCTTCCGCGTATTCGTATGTTTATTTTGCATAGTATCATTGTTCGTCTTAGCCTTACTCGCTAGGATTATTGCGATTTTCAGTATTGATAATATTCCTCCTCATCTTTCTCCTCCTCCTCTTCCTCCTCCTCGTCCTCCTCCATTAAATTTCCTTATAAGCTCTCCCTGTCGCACCCCGAGGCCAGCTTTTGGGGCGGGTCGGGCGTTTCGCCTGAGACTTACCCACCGCTCATGACACTTAAGCGTAAACATTGGCAACAGCTTTCACATATGGAAGGCGGGTGGTTTCCAACATGTGCCTCTCGCCTGAGCGCCGCGCACATTCGTTTTAAACATGTACAGGAGCTTCAAGGATTGAGGGCAGATGGTTTTCAACATGTGGCTCTCGCCTTAGCGCCGCGCACGTTCGTTTTTTTTGGGAAAAAGAAGTTGCACGGGTTGAGGGCGAATGGTTTTCAAAATGTGGCTCTCGCCTTAGCGCCGCGCACATCCTTGAAAAAATGTGCAAGAGCTTCATGAAGTGAGGGCGATTCCTGTTCAAACTGTGGCTCTCGCCTCAGCGCCGCCCACATTCGTTTTTCAAAATTTACAAGAGTCTCACGGACTCCCATGGTCAACATACCAGGAACGGTGTGTTGGAAGGATTCAGGATTATGAGGGCGCAGCAGTTACGTTGATTCGCGGCGTTGAAATTCCAAGAATGGCGTTCTGGCACGACTTCGTCAAGACGCAGCAGTCAGGTTGTTCCGTGGCGTTGGAATCCCAAGAACAATATTTTGGCATGCTTCAGGGTCTTCTGACGGTTGTCTTCCAACGAGGCAGTTCCCTCAGTGGAAATGGATCGCTGTCGGGGCCTATAAAGAGGGAGCTTGGAGGGAGGGTTTACTCCAACATGGTTGATGACTCTTGGCGATCCTCCTCCTCCTCCTCCTTCTTCTCCTCCTCTTCCTTCTCCTCCGCCCCCCTCCCGCGCCTCCTCCTCCTCCTGCTCCGCCTCCTCCTCCTCCGCCTCCTCCTGCTCCTCCTCCTGCTCCTCCTCCCCCGCCTCCTCCTCCTCCTGCTCCTCCTCCCCCGCCTCCTCCTCCTCCTCCTCCGCCTCCTCCTCCTCCTCCGCCTCCTCCGCCTCCTCCGCCTCCTCCTCCGCCTCCTCCTCCTCCGCCGCCCTCCTCCCCTGGCGCGTCCTCGAGCAAGTGCCCCAGGCCCGCGATCCTGATCGCCTCCGCGATGTCCTCCAGGGGCGGCTCTCTCCCGAGTCGCACGCTCGGCCCCCGCCACAGCGGGGAAGAGGACGACGACGACGACGACGACAACGACGACGACGACGACGACGACGATGACGACGACGACGAGGAGGAGGGCGAGGAGGAGAAGGAGGAGGAGGCAGGAGGAGGAGGAGGTTTTCGGGCGTTTTCGTTGGCTCTCGGCAGCGTTCCAGCCTCGCGGTGTCCTTCCAACGGCTACGCCTCGCCGAGGGCGCTCCAGGGATGCCCGGACCGTCCCGAACGGCCGCCAGAGGCCCGAGCTATGGCTCCCAAACCACTGGGGACGAAGATGGCGATGAGGAGGGCGAGGGCTAGGGCGAGGGTGAGGGCGAGGGCGAGGGCGAGGGCGAGGTGGAAAATGACTTCATTTCGCCCCTGATATCGCGCAGATCAACGAGCTTGAGGAGGAGGTCGATGACGACGAGGAGGTCGAGGAGGAAGGACCAGGAGGAGCGGGAATCTCCAGTCAAATTATGACGCACACACACACATACGTACATACACACACACATACGTATATGAGGAGAAGGGGGCGGGGAGGGAGGATAAATAGGGAAGGGAGGCGGAGGAGGAGAACGGGCAGTGGGAAGAGGAGGACGACGACGAAGACGAGGACGAGGCAGGGGAGACCGCGACGAGCGAGGGAAACCCTGGGCTTTGGTTCTCCCAGGTCGCCTTGTCCGCCTTGTCGCCGTCCAGCGGGAGAGGGTACGCCACGGCCTTGCGGAGCTGGCTGCGGCCCCCTCCGACCCCTGTTCGACAATCACCCGACCTCAAAAAAACAAGACCGTCGTGCTCAAACCACGATGACGCAAACTGCCAGCCTCCCAACTGATGGGAAGTGGGCCCCACCATGCCCGAGCATGCCGTAGAGAAGGAGAGCGCACAGCGTGTGAGACTGGCAGCAAATCAGCCGCCCGCCCCTGGACACGTGACCAAAAAAAAGGCGTCGGAGGGCCCGGGCCAGGAGCGGCCCTCTCCCGAGGCGCCGCCAGGATTAGGTCGGGCATGTCCTCCTCCAGGCAGATTTGGGGCGAAAACTGAGAAATAGTCCAAAATGGCCTAAAATAGCCCCCCAAAAGAGTCGAAAAATCGTGCCCCGAATATTTGTTTGACTATTCTTGAATACTCCTCCAGTGGAGGGGCCTGGCCCCTTGAATACTATTCTTGAATACTCCTCCAGGGTCAAGTCGGGCCTGGCCCCTGGGGCCATGCCCGACTTAACCCTGGAGCCCCGCGGCCGCCGGCAGGCGCCCAGGGCCCCGCGCCCGCGGGTGCCCCGGCCCTCGCGCGGACCCCTCGTCCTTTCCGTGTGGATGCCACGACAACGGACACCCGAACAGTCCTATCCTTGAATGTTCAACGTGTTTAAAAAGTAGGAAAAACGTTCTAAGCATGTTGAAAGCATGCTTAAAACATGTCTGAGACATGTTTTAGACATCCGGAAATGATTTAGCGGCATGCTTCCTCTCCATTGATCGTCCTCCACAATCCTTGCCCCATCCCCCCGTCCCTCCCTGCCCGCCCACCCCCCGACGATCCAGCGCACTGACAAAATCGATCATGGCAGTGGTTTTTCGCCCTTCTCGGTCGGCCTCTAGAGGCCCTCGCCGGGCCCCAGGAGCGTCAACAAAAACTCCTCGGGACGAAAGACCCCGGTCCCTGAGGAGGGGTCGGGGCTTCCGGGGCCCCGCTTTGAAAAAAACTCGACGTCGGATCTCCGGGCCCTCCTCTGCTTCCTGCGCCTCCTCCCCCCTCCACCCCCACTTGGTCTCCCCCTTCTCTCCCCCGTGTCTCCTCCCTATCCTCCTGTCTCCTCGCCCCTTCCTCCCGCCCCCCTTCTCTTGTTTCCCATCCTGCTTCTCCCGCAAAGGGCCCAATATCTCAGTCTCACCCGTCCTCCCTCTCCTCCATGCTCCCCTCTCCTCCTCCCTTCTTTGTTCGCAACGTGGCTACCCAAAGGTCTGGACTCCTTCCAAGTCATCCTGGGCCGTTTTCGTTGACGGCCCTGGGGATCGGTAAGGGGGCCCCAGAAACCGAAAATCCCACCGGCCCTCTGGGCGTGAGTGGTTTGGGAAGTTTCTTCTTCCAACCCCACTCCTCCCCTTCCGGGGAGGGTTTACCCCTCCCACTCCCTCTGGGCCCCAGAGGCTCCCAAGGGTGCCTCAGGACAGCACTAAGGTACCCAGAAGACCCCAGTAGGCCCCCACGATGCCCACAAGATGCTCCCAAGAGGCTCCCAAGAGACCCCCAAGTGGCTCCAATTGGCCCCCCCAGAAGCACCCAAGACGCCCGAAGAGACCCCCAGGACTGCTAAGAGACCCCCAAGACGCCAAAAGAGGATTCCAAGAAGCTCTCGAAAGAAATCCGAAGAGACTCAGAGAGGCATCCAACGGCCTCTGGCCTTTCTACTCGCCTTCCTCCTCCTCCTCCTCGTCCTCCTCCTCCTCGTCCTCCTCTTCCTCCTCGTCCTCCTCCTCCTCCTTCTCCTCCTGCTCTTCCTCATCCGATTGTTTCTCCTTTTTCCTCGGCCCTCCTCCTCCTCCCCATCTCCATACTCCTCCTTATCCTTCTGCTCCTCCTCCAAGTCCTCCTTCATCCTCCTCGTTGGGTACGACGTCTTACCCAGCTCTTTATTATACTGCATTTTTGTCCACATCTCTGATCAGGGCAACTCGCCTGGGTATCGTTTCTGGATGGGCTGGCGGGGTTATTTTTTTGGTCGGCGGCTCCGAAGCAACGGACAAGGAGCGGAAGCGGCGTCCGGGTCACGGTACGGGGCTAATTTGCAAACCTAGCCGCCAGAGTCGGCGGACGAGACTCGCACCCGCAAGACACACTCGCAGTTGCACGTGCACAGAACAAAATGAACTCAACTCACAGGGCAAGCGCACACGCTGGCGGGGTTATTTTTTGTTGGCGGTTCGCTGGCAAAGGTCAAGAAGCGGGGCATCGAACGGGGCGCGAACCGAAGATAATGCCGAAAAGGCGCATGCACATGCAAGGAACAAAATGACCCAAATTAAACACCGAGACCGGCGCCGACATCCCATCGGGACCGCCACGTCGCAGCGAGCAGCGGCAACGGCGGTACAGCGTGGCCAGGTGTACTGTAACAGCGGGGAGAAATCGCCCTGTCGGCGCCAATCTCCAGCCGAACGACACACGGAATCGAGGCCGAGAGGGGGGCAAGAGAGCCGCTGCATACGTCATTCGGGGCAGCTGGCGGGGTTATTTTTTTTTGATTGGCGGCTCCAAGGACAGATCCAAAAAGCGGGACGGTCTCGGCTGGGACACAGGGCGAGAAAATTAGCGGCGACGGCGCATAGGCCGAAGCAGCGGGTGCACGTGCCAGGGACAAAATGCCCCTCATTAAGACGCAGGCGACCCGGAGGCGGGGCCGCAGGCAGCAAAGGGAACTGACGGATGAGAAGTCGCACAAGTGGCGCCGACTCAGTCAAAAAAGAACAGCGTGCATGGGCGTGGCTCGCGCCGCGCTGTGGCGGCACGGAGGGGCCGGCGAGGCCGCACCACCCAACACGCCGAGGAGGCGAGTGAGCGGGGAAGGACGGGCGCGAGGGGACGCGAGCACAGGAGAGGGGGGGGAACCGAGGGAGGCCTCACTCACATGGACTCAAAGGAAGTACTCGGGCATGAGCGACCGACCTATGCAAGGAAACGGCGGCCCTGTCTTCCGGGTCCACGACCTGCAACTGCCGGACTCTGGAAGCCGGGGGATACAGCTGCAAGCACTGGTCGAGCTCCTCGTACCGCCCTGCGGGAGGGCCGAGATAGACTGCCAAAGGATGTACCACTTGTGCAGTAGTGAAAGCTCGAAGGCGGCGCCCGCCGTGGGGAGCGAGTCGGCTGGCGGGGTTACGCGAAGCGTCAAGAACAATCAAACAGATCCTGTCGCTACTTTCCACGGCGCAAACATGTCTCTGTCTCGTCAAACGCTTCACGACTGCTGCTGTCCCGCGACTCGCGCTGAATCCAGACTTCTCTTGATATGTCTGGATGTACCTCGATCTATCCAGATGCGCATCGCTCTGCATTGATCCGCCTCGGCTTACCTGGCATTCTCCCCGCGAGTCGATTGAATCAAAGTCTTCAAACCCATAGTGAGGGTCCCCCGACGCGATGATGTCAGGGTCCACATGCCTCGCTCCCTCCCTCCCCCTCCCCCTTCCCCATCCCCTCCCTCACCCTCACCCTCCCACTCCCCACTCCCACTCCCTCTCCCTCCCCCATCCCTCTCTCTCCATCTCCCTCTCCCTGCCCCCTCTCCCTCCCCCCTCTCCCTCCCCTCCCCCCCTCTCCGTCACTCTCCCTCGCTCCCTTCCTCGCAACCCTCTCCCTCGCCTCCCCCGTCCCCCCCCCCTCTCGCCTCCCCTCCCTCGCCTCCCCCTCCATCGCCTCCCCCTCCCCTCACAATCTCGCCCCCCTCGCCCCCTCTCTGGCCCGGCCTCCCGGAGCTGCCCGGGCAGGACGAGCACCTCGGTGGGAAAGACCTTGACGCCTGCGCCACCAGGGGGACGGACAGGCTTCTGATCAGCCTGACTGGTCGTCCTCTTCGTCGTCTTCCTCCTCGCTACCACAATCAGCAGCAGCAGCATGCATCATCATATCTCATCCTCCCTCCTCCTCCTCCTCCTCCTCCTCCTCCTCCTCCTCCTCCTCCTTCTCATCCTCATCCTCATCCTCCTCCTCATCCTCCTCCTACTCTCATCATCATCATCATCATCATCATCATCATCATCATCATCATCATCATCATCATCATCATCATCATCATCATCATCATCATCATCATCGTCATCATCATCAGCAGCAGCAGCAGCATCATCATCACCACCACCATCATCATCCTCATCATCAGCATCAGCATCAGCATCAGCATCAGCATCAGCATCATCATTAGTATCATCATCCTCAGCATCATCATCAGCATCAGCATCATCATCACCATCATCATCATCACAATCATCAACATCACTACCATCATCATAAGCACCATCATCAGCATCATCATCATCAGCATCATCATTATCATCATAATTGTCTATACGACCACCCTTCGGGTGATAAGGAGGTTATGGGGGGGAGAGGGGGTGGAACCAACATATGACTCAATCGATCTCACTATCGATCTCACTCAACGGGACACCACGGGCCAGAACGGGAAACCACGGGACACAACGAGACACCGCGGGACACCTCTCGATCTCACTATCGGTCTCACTATCGATCTCACTCAACGGGACACCACGGGACACCACGGGCCACCACGGGACACCACGGGACACCGCGGGACACCTCTCGATCTCACTATCGGTCTTACTACTGATCCCACTATCGATCTCACTCAACGGGACACCACAGCACACCACGGGACACCTCGGGACACCACATCGATCTCACTATCGACCTCACTATCGATCTCACTATCGATCTCACTCAACGGGACCCCACGGGACACCACGGGACACCACGGGACATCTGTCGATCTCACCATCGATCTCACTATCGATCTCACTCAACGGGACACCACGGGACACCACGGGACACCACGGAACACCTCCGGGCATCACATCGATCTCAGTATCGATCTCACTATCGATCTCACTCAACGGGACACCACCAGACACCACGGGACACCTGTCGATCTCACTATCGATCTCACTTTTTGGGACACCACAGGACACCTCGGGGCACCATATCGATCTCGGTATCAATCTCACTATCGATCTCACTATCGATCTCACTATCGATCTCACTATCGATCTCACTCAACGGGACACCACGGGACACCACGGGACACCACGGGACACCAGCGGGACACCGGCGGGACACCGCGCGGCACCGGCCGCCCGAGGAGAAACATTTGGTCCGGCCGCGGCCCAGCCACAGGAGGATTTCTGGACACCCGCGGGACACCGGCGGGACACCGCGCGGCACTGGCCGCCGGAGGAGTTACATTTGGGCCGGCCGCGGCCCAGCCACAGGAGGATTTCCTCTCGCCCGCCCACGCAGCTTCGCCTCGCCCGCACGCACGCACGGCACGCACGACACGAACCCGAAACCGAAATCGATTTCCCGGTAGAGGGGGCCTCCGCTTCACGTCGGACTCACCCCCCAACCTCAGATCATCATCATCATCATCATCATCATCATCATCATCATCATCATCATCATCATCATCATCATCATCATCATCATCATCATCATAATCATCATCCACAGCATTATCATCAGCAGCAGCAGCATCGCCATCAGCATCATCATCACCATCATTATCATCTTCATCAGCATCATATTCATCATCATCTTCATCAACATCATCATTATCATCATCATCATCATCATCATCATCATCACGATCATCATCATCATCATCATCAGCATCATCATCACCACCACCATCATCATCATAATCATCATCATCATCGTCATCATCATCATCATCCGTATCCTCATCCTCATCCTCGTCGACACCGCCTCATAATCAACGACAGCAGCATCATATTATCGTCGTCAGCGTCGTCATCTGAATCCTCAACACCACCACCACCATCAGTACAATCATCCCCATCATCATCATCATCAGCATCAGCATCATCGGCATCGTCATCGTCATCGTCATCATCATCAGCATCATCACGATCACCATCAGCATCATCATCAGCATCATCATCACCATCATCATCTTCGTCGTCATCAAAACCACCACAACAACAATCAGAATCATCATCATCAGCATTATCATCATCGTCGTCGTCGTTGTAGTCATCGTCGTCATCATCGTCAGCAGCATGGTCATCAGCAATACAATCCTCATCAGCATCATCTATATCGTCATCGTCATTAACATCGTGATCGACAACATCATCAGTATCTAAACCGTCCTCCTCAACCAAAATAGCATCAGCAGCAGCAGAAACAGCAAGATCTTCGTCTTCGCCGTCGTCATCCTAATCCTCGTCAACGTCGTCGTCATCATCGCTGTGTGCATACTTCCGCAGGCCGAAAGATTTTCCTCTTGAGCCCCACATGTCAGAAGCGACGCGCCGATCCCGTCTGTTCTTCTCCAACCTCCTCTTCCCTCATCCTTCCCTTCTTCATCCTGGGAAGACCCCCTCCCCCGTAGAATCATAGCATTGGTCTGCACATCTACAGCTCCGTGGATAGCATGATGCTTCACTTGCGGTGCTCCGCGGATCCAATTTCCCCTGGATCCCGGATGTTAAGTATTATTTTATATTTATTCCCGGGAAATAAATGGATCCATCGTTTTTCACACACAGGAAATTGGATCCGCGCAACACAGAAATAGGATCCACGAAACTGTCCCACACCCGAAAAGGGATCCAATTGGATCCACTGATGTTCTCATACTTTTAGTCCAAGAGGAAAAAACTTTCGGCCTGGGGATGTAATCGTCGTCATGATCATTCGAATGATCGGCATCACTACCGTCGCCATCATCATCATGATTTTCATCATCACTATCATCACCACATCACCAGCAGCAGTATCATCATCGTAACCATCATAATCATCGCTGTGATCCTAATCGTCATCGTCATAATCGTAATCAGCAACGGCACTATCACAACCACTACCGTCATCACCTTCATCATCATCATAATCATCACCACCGTCATCAACACCATCAACGACTACATCATCATCATCAGCATCATCATCAGCATCGTCGCTAGTCACATCAGCATCAGTCACCATCCTCAGCATTCTCATCACCACCAGTATCTTCATCGCAAGCATCATCATCATCAGCAGAAGCATCATCGTCATCGTCGGCATCTTCATCATGATCATCATCACCACCACCACCATCATCAACATCGTCATTAGTATCATCAATATGACTGCCATCATCATCACCACCACCACCATCATTATCACCATCATCATCATACGCCCGCTGCCATCGCTGCCGGAGCTGGCCTTCAGACCTGAGACCTCGGGCTCGGAGCCGCCCCCCCCCCCTCTGCCAGGGCCCCGCGAGACTCGGCGGCGAGCTGTCCGAGAGGAGGCGGGAGAGGAACGGGCGGGAGCGGGGGGAGAGCCTCAGTGGAGCCGAGACCTCCTGGTTTGGGGAGGGCGTCGTGCTGCTGACAGTCCCCCTGGGATTGGGGCGTGAACTCTCACATTCGCTCTGCGCTGGCGCTTGTCGGCCGCGGCACTTCGTGGAGTTCGCCCTCCGTCGCGTGCACGTGCTCTTCTCCGTCCTCTGGCTGCTCCGCGAGCTCAGAGCACGCGTGCCGTGGTTTGTTCAGACGACTCTGTTGGAGAGAACGAGATTCGCTACCTCCTCCCTGTTCCTCCTCCCTCCTCTTCCTCCTCCCTTTTCCTCCCTTCTCCTCCTCCTTCTCCTTCTCCTCCCCCTCATTCCTCTCCTTCTTCTCCTCCTCCTCCTCCTCCTCCTCCTCCTCCTCCTCCTCCTCCTCCTCCTCCTCCTCCTCCTCCTTCTCTTCCTCCTCCTACACCTCCTCCTTGATCCTTGATCTTTCATGGAGGCGTGGCCGAGTCGCCCACACCTCGCCAGTTCAGTTAACCGCGGCCTCCACCAAGTGTGGGGGTTCGACGCAACAAGCATGCGCCGCACACAAACGGCAGATCATTACAAGCGGCGCATGCGGAGACAATTCAGGCCCATACAGCGACGCCGGCCGCTCACCCTACCCGCAGGACATGCCACGGTGCTGCAACGCTTGGTGGCGCGGAAAGCTTGACCACACCACGCACGTGTGACCCGAAGAGGTGGACACCTCAGTAACAGATAGGAATACATCCGTTCGAGACCAGCGCAGTCCCGCCTGGCGACCCAAAGAGCGGGACCACGCCAGGTGCTGGTGGCCCAGAGCGGGACCGCACCAGCAGTGACTCAGAGGTATCGCCACACATCCAGCGCTGGTGACCCGAAGAGCGGGACCACACCAGCGCGCATAGGTCATGCCACCGCTCAAGCCAACTCGCCAGCACTGCGCATCGCGGCTCCGCAAGGCTACCCGAAGAGCGGGAGCACACCAGACACTGGTGACCCGAGCAGCGGGACCATACTAGCAGCAACTGCGACGAGTTGAGCCTGGCGACCAGAACACAGCAGGCCCACATCGAGGACTGCAGGCCCGGGGAGCGGGACCACACCACACTGGCGGCCAGCAGACGCCATCAGTCACCCCAGGCCCCACGAAGGCGCAGCCATTGTGCCAGACCCGCCAGACCATGCACATCGCCCGATTGTCTCTACAACTGTCTCTACGTCACCCTCCACCCCCGCGGGGCAAAAGATCTGCCAGACCCGCTGCCAGACCCACCAGACCAGGCACACCGCCTGGCTGTCTGTCTTTGAACCGGAACTGGCCTCGGGAACAGCCATCGCAGCACCATCCCCAGACTGCTTATAGAACCTGCGGATGCCCTTGAGCTGGGTACGTTTCTCAACCACTCCAGCCGCGCCACCCTGACAGGCCAACGTTAGCTTGAGGAGCTTGCCACCCAAATTAAACGAGTAACAAGCGCATCGCGTACAAACAACAGCATTGCCAGCACAAGAAGGAATCTGCCCAAGCTCACGGAACAGAACGTTCACTGCCATCCAAGGACCAGCCGTCTGGATCTGCTCATCTTGGAATATATACACATCCTCAGGCCCAGACGCGTCGCCAGCCGCGCCCAGAGCCACCTTGACCACCTCAGCACGCCACTTCTTGCTCCTGGAGCTCTCAGCTGAACCAAAAAAAGGCGTCCAGACGAGCCTGCTGCAATTGTGGCGGCCCACAATGACGCCTGACGCTCCACTGCAAATTGTCACGAATATGCGCGCAGTCGGTAAACCCACAGTTTCGACACCTCGACTCCTTGATAGCAAAAGAGATGCTCATCCTAGACCAATGTTTGAAATGACGACTTTTCAGCAGGTGGCACACGACTTTGACATAACCTTGTGAGAGACCAACTGGGGTAACGAGCCACCATGAGAGCCTCAATAAACAATTGCTGCACAAATTCAGCGCGCACACAAAACATGGCAAACTCTCAGCTCCCTTCTTGGCGAAACAGTCGGCCCAGCTGTTGGCGAGCACCCAGATAGGATCAAGACCCGGGGGGCCTCTGTCCCTCTACCATATCAACGAACTCAAGATGCGACGGACACCACTTAAACGTCGGGGCGTTCACCTCCAGCTTGGCAACCTGCTCACGCATACACTGCCGCACTCTCACACGCATAGCTCCAGAACTTTCGCCAGCATCAGACCATCGAGCACAGTCGTTGACCAGCAACTGCAGGTCCGAGACGATAGGTCGTCGTCGTCATGGTCGTCGTCGCCGTCGTCGTCGTCGTCGTCGTCGCCGTCGCCGTCGTCGCCGCCGCCGTCGTCCACGCAGCCGTCGCCGTGGCCACCATCGTCGTCGGTGCCACCGCTGTCGTCGTCGTCGCCGCCGTCACCGTCGTCGTCGTCCTCCTCCGCCGCCATCGTCGTCGTTGCCGTCCTCGTTGTCGTCGTCGTCGTCGCTGTCATCGTCGTCGTCGTCCGTCGCAACCACCCTCGTCGTCGTCGTCGTCGCCATCGCCGCCGTCGTAATCGTCGTCGTCGTCGTCGCCATCACCGTCGCCGTCGTCGCCGTCACCGTCGTCGTTGTCATCGTCGTCGTCACGAGCGTTGTCGTCGCCACCGACGTCGTCGTCATCGTCGTGGTCGTCGCCGCTGTCATCGTAGTCGTAGTCGTCGTCGTCGTCGTCGTCGTCACCGCCGTCGCAGTCGTCGTCGTCGTCGCCGTCCCCGTCATCGTCGTCGTCGTCATCGTCGTCGCCGCCATTGCAGCCGTGACCATCGTCGCCGGTATCGTCGTCATCGTCGTCGACGTGACCATCACCGTCGTCGTCGTCGAGGCCGTCGCCGCCGCCGTCGTCGTCATCGTCCTCGTCATCGCCACCGTCGACGTCGACGCCGTCACCGTCGTCGTCATCGTCGTCATCGTCGTCGCCGCCGTCGTCGTAGACGTCGTCGTCGACGTCGCCGTCGGCGTCGTGGTCGTTGTCGTCGTCGCTGTCACCGTCGTCGTCATCGTCATCGTCACCGTCGCCGTCGCAGCCGTCGTCGTCTGCGTTGTCGTCGCCGACATCGTCGTCGTCGTCGCCGCCGTCGTCGTTGTCCCCATCGCCGTCGTCGTCGTCGTCGTCGTCGTCGTCGTTGTCCCCATCGCCGTCGTAGTCGTCGTCGTCATCGCCGTCGTCGTCGTCGTGTTCGCCGGCGTCGCCGTCGTCGCCGTCGTCGTCGTCGTCGCCGTCTTCGTCGCTGTCGTCGCCATTTCCGTCGCCGTCGCCGCCGTCACCGTCGTCGTCGTCGTCGCCGTCGCCGTCGTCGTCGTCGTCGCCATCGCCATCGTCGTCGTCGTCGTCATCGCCGTCGTCGTCGTCGACGCCGTCGTCGCCGTCGTGGCCGACGCCGCCGCCGCCGTCGTCGTCGTCATCGTCGTCGCCGTCGTCGTCGTCGTCACTGCAGCCGCCGTCGTCGTGACCATCACCGTCGTCGTCGTCGTCGTCGTCATCGTAGTCGTTGTCGCCGTCGCAGCCGTCGTCGTCGTCGCCGCCGTCGTCGCCGTCGTCGCTGTCGCCGTCGTCATCGTCGTCTTCGTTGCCGCCGCCGTCGTCGTCGTCATCGTCGTCGTCGTCCGTGTCATCGTCGTCGTCATCGTCGTCGCCGCCGTCATCGTCGTCGTCGTCGTCGGCGTCGCCGGCGTCGTCGTCGCCGTCGCCGTCGTCGTCCGCACCGCCGCCGCCAACGCCGACGACGATGCGCGGAGGCGCCTGCCAGGCCGCCCTGCGCGGCTGCGCCCCCCTCCGCCCACGGCCACGCCCCGGACAGGGCGCGGAAGAGGGTGCTCTTCCCGGCCCCGCTGGGCCCGGTGATCAGCACCTAGGCCGAAGGCCGAGCTCGGCGGACGAAGGGGGGTGGGGAGAGGAGGGGAAAGGGGCGAGGCGAGGCCAATGGGGGGAGGGGGAAGGGGAAGGGGAGGGAGAAGGGGAGGGAAGGGGCCGACAAATGCACAGCTCGCAGCCATTCAGGGAGATGCAAGATCTCTGTAGGTGCAGCGTACTCCCCTCCTCCGATGAGCCTCCCGCGAACCAGCGAAAATGGCAACAGCTGCGCAGCTCGCAGCCACCCAGGGAGGTGAGAGGTCTCGGCTGGGTGCGCGTGCTCCGCTACTCCGCCATGCCTCTCAGGAGCTCACGTAAGTGGCGACAAATGCACAGCTCGCAGCCACTCAGGGAGATGCAAGATCTCTGTAGGTGCAGCGTGCTCCCCTCCTACTCCGATGGGCCTCCCACGAATCCACGAAAATGCCGACTGTTGCGCAGTTCGCAACCCCCCAGGCAGGAAGAGGAGGCAGGAAGAGGGGAGAGGGAGGACGAAGGAGGAGAAGGAGAAGACGGTGTGCGGCCATACTGTCCCATTCAAAATGAGAACCCACCACAGCAGGGTCCGGAAATACAGAAGCGCTCCGATTGCTTCACAAAAAAGATAGACCACCTTCCGACATCCTGTGCGCTCGGGCTGCATGCGGGGCGAGAGGATGTCATTACTCGAACCAACCAAAGGGGGGAAAGAGGGCGGGGACTGGGGAGAGGAGGGGAGCGGGGGGTGGGGGAGCGGAGGCGCGAGGGGGGGGGGCGATCGGGAAGGCTGAGCAGGAAGAGGGGGGGCGGGGTGGGAGGGAAGGGGGGCGAGAGGGACGGGGGCGAGGGGGGAGGGGGAAAGGATGAGGGAGCGGGAGGATGGAGCTGGAGCGGGAGACGGAGGGGAAGAAAACACGACCACGAGGAACAACAAGCAGACGGCGATATCGAGTTCCTGAATTTGCCCCTGTCTTGTGCATAAGAATAAAGTGATATGCTAGCAGATGGAAGAGGCAGAGGCGACCTGGATGGACCTTGTAAACACATTAGACCACCTCCTCCCCCTTCTATTGTTCCTCCTCCTGATCCTGCTAATTGCCGTCGTTTTCCGTTTCCGTCCTGCTCCTCCTGCTCCTCCTGCTCCTGCTCCTGCTCCTGCTCCTGCTCCTGCTCCTCCTCCTCCTCCTCCTCCTCCTCCTCCTCCTCCTCCTCCTCCTCCTCATAAGTACTATTGCCTTTGCTGCTGCTCCTGCTAGTATCACTACAACTACGACTACGACTACGAGTGCGACTACGACTACGACTACGACTACGACTACGACTACGAACTACGTCTATTACTACTACTACTACTACTACTACTACTACTACTACTACTACTACTACTACCATTACCACTGCAACTACTACTACTACTACTACTACTACCACGGCTGCGTCTATTCCCCCTACTACTACGACTACTACTACTACTCTACTTACTACTACTACTACTACTAACTGGCTACTTACGAACTACTAACTATTACTACGACTTACTACTACGACTACTACGACACTCTACTACTACTACTACTACTACTACTACTACGACTAATACAATACTACGTACTATACTACCACGACTGCTACTACTACTACTACTACTACTACTAACTACTACTACTACCACTAACTACTACTACTCTACTACTACTACTACTACTACTACTACTACGCACTACTACTACTACTACTACTACTACTACTACTGGCTACTACTAACTATACGACTACTACCTACTACTACTACGACTACTACTACTACTACTACTACTAATAATACGAATACGACTATTACTACTAATACGACCACTACGACTACTACGACTACTACTACTACTACTACTACTACTACTACTACTACTACTACTACTACTACTACTACTACTACTACTACTACCACTACACTACGAGTACTACTACTACCACTACTACCACGATTGCTACGACCACCACTACTACCATTACTAAAACTACTACCATTACTACTTCTACTACTACTACTGCTACTAGAACCACAACTACTACTACTAGTACTACCACTACTGGTACACATGATAAGAATGATAATACCACAACTACTGTTACTATGGTAACGCGTCACCGTCGCGTCTTTGGAAAAGGAAGAGCGCAGGATACAAATGTGGGTTCGGGCCCCGTTTCGGCTTCGACGTTCAATGGCTAGCAATTTGATACGCAATACAATAAACCAGGAGTAGGACACAATAGGAAAACAGTCCGAGAACAGTAAGGAAACAATGGGCGCAAAATAGGAGCGCTATAGGGACGCACTACAATAGGAAAGCAGGAATGCACGAATGCAATAAAAAAACAAAATGCAAACACACTCGGAATACAATCGACAGGCTGAAGAAATATGTTAGCCAGCGTTGAGCGTTGACCCCTAATACACAGGAGGACAGGAGGAGGACGAGTGGAGGGCGGGAGGAGGACAAAAAGAGGACGGGAGCAGGACGGGGGGGAGACGGGAGGAGCAAGATCAAGCAAGCGCAAGCATGCAAGTGGAAGCAAGCAAGCGCCAGCGAACAATAACAAGCAAGCACGAACCAGCGACCAAGTGCCAGCCAGCAAGGGCAAGCAAGAGCACGCAAGCAAGAGCAAGCAAGCAAGCAAGAGCAAGCAAGTTAGACCCAGCGATCAAGTGCAAGCAAGCAAGAGCAAGCATTGGACTCGCCATTGGAAATAGCGGAGGGGGGGCCCTGGAAATGAAGGGCTGGCCACTGGGAAAAGGAGGGGGGGGGGGGGGGCGACGGGAGCGTTGGAAACAAGGAGGGGGGGCAATGGAAAACAGGGGAGGGTCCGAAACAAAAACAATTATTCACGGTGAGCTCGGACTCCTATACACAAGGCATGCCTATTTGGAGAACCATAAGTATACGAATATCAGCCAGCGCTGACTCCAAATCGATAGATGGACAGGAAAAGAGCGAGAGAAAGAAAAGACGAGGAGGGCAGGACGGGAGGGGGGGAGGTCAAGCATGGAATGGCAAGCAAAAAGAAGCGAGCAAAAAGAAGCGAGCAGCCATGCAAGCACGGAGGCATAGACATGGGCACCCATGGGAATGCATGGGAGTCCTAGCCCCGGATCCAAAGGACTCCATGCGCATAGGCATTGGCATGAGCATTGGCATATAGGCATTGGCATTAGCATAGGAATGCATGCGGCTCATAGGGATCCATCGGCACCCATAGGATTCGCCACTGGAAAAAGCCGGGGGCAGGGGCGCCACTCGAAAAAAGGAAGGGGGGGGCGCCGGCAGAAAGGGGGGGGGGGGGGGCTACATGTAAGACCGTGTGGCGCGAGGTCTTCTCGCGCGAAGATTGGCTTTCGCAGGGCGCGCGCGATGCGAACTTGCTCGAGCGCGCAGTTGTAGCACGCGCATCCGAACAGATCATACATGCTATCAATGGCAATGGTTGCGCGCATGGAATCACTACTATCACGGTCAGTTCACACTCATACGTCTGCGCATTGTCACACAAATCCTCCTAACTCTACCAGCGGGCACGCAGAAGCGACAGCGGCAAAGAACGCAGCGCTGAAGGCGCCACATTTTTCCCGCCTAAAATAACGCAGCAGGCCCACCCGCAACAGTCCAAACACGAGAGCCTGGACCACCCATCACAAGGTCATCGCGCCCTGCCCGACATGGGCCAGCTGCGCGCACGCACCCCTGGCGCGCGCGTCACTATAAGACCGCCGAAGCCTCTTGGCCCCCTGCGGCAAGGCGCCCTCGTCGACGCCGGGGCCACGTCGCGTCTTGCCGCGCATCCGCGGCCGCGCCGTTGAGTCTGGAGGGCCGCGTGCGATGCAGCTGAGAGCGCGACGCAAAACCTCGCGCTCCTCTGGGCGCGCGTCTGCGAGGTTCGGAATGCGCTGCATCCAGCCCGCTGGCAACTTCACAGACGCGCACGCGGTGGCGACCTTTTGGGCGTTGCGCCCAGTCTTGTGGAGCATAGAATCTCTTCAGTCGGTCGCGCGCGGCCTCGTCGCGAGCGGCGCCGCTGGGGACGTCGACCTCCGGGCGCCCGGCCGCGAACAGCGACGAGTCGAAGAGGTGCTCGACCCGGCGCGGCGACGTCGCGAACGCCGGACTGGCGCGCACCTGTCGCAGCCAACGACAACGACCGCTTCTCAGACAGAGAGAGCGCGCCGGCAACTAGCGCGCCCAGCTGCTCGGGCCGCCGCCAGCCGACGCGCTGGCCCCCGTCGGAATGACCACCGCTGTCATCGGGGCACCGCTGGGCCGCCGCTGGTCTTGCGAGGCAGGTCGCCGGGGCGCTCCACGCACGAGGCGGCGACGTCCTCCAGGAAGTGGGGCGCCCCAGGGCACGGCCTGTCCGAGTAGGCGTCGCCCGATATGCGGCGCAGCACAGTTCTCTCGCGGCCGGGGGGCACGCTGCCGATGACCTAACCCAGCGAAGCGACGCTGCCCGCGGAAGCGCCGCTCGCCGCCGTCGCCCCCGACCGCGAACATCCGCGGGCACTTGCGCGAAAGGCGAGACATCGGGGCCACCCGCTCGCCGGCCGCGCTCTCCACTTTCAGAGCCACGTGGAGCGGGCCCTCCGCGACGCACAGCACCCGCGGAAGGCGCCCCCGAGCCACGGGGCGCAGAACCTCGGGCGAGCCCGAGCACACCAGACGGGGCCGACGGCGCCCGTCGGCCCCGATCGCCCCCAAGGGCGCAGAGATCACGCTCGGCGCTGACTCCGAGGAGCACGGCTTCACCAACGGCACGATGCCTCGCACAATTCCTATCATTAGCGCAATAAGTATTTGGGAACGGGTTTAAGCGGTCAGTGGTAAAACCCGTTCCTGTTAATACGCGGTCATATGGTGCTCTCATTAAGAACGGAGTTGCCGCCATGCGTTTCGCCCTCGCTACGCCCGGGCACTGCGCCGAGAGCTGCAAGTGCAAAACAAAGCTGTCAGAGATCGCCCCGGACCTCTGCCCGTGTTTTTGCTGGTAGAGCACGGAGAGGAGGACGCTGCACTGCCCGTCGATGCCAATGGCGGTCTCGTCAGCGGTGCGACGACAGATCACGCGCATCCTCTGCATGATCGGATGGCGCAGCATGTCCTCAGCCATCGCATGGAGGACATCTCGGCCAGACGGAAGCAGGTAGCGCCTATAAACTGCCTCCTCGCCCAGCGCTGAGAGCACGCGCTCGCCCGCGCTCTTTGTAGTTGGGCGCAGCAACATAGCAACCAAATCGAGCGAGTAGGCGTCCGCGCACAGGAACTGCGCGCTCGCGCGGTGGTAGCGCTTCTCGTCGCAGCGCAAGATGCACCCGGTCTCGCCATCGGCGCCAAAGAGTAGCTCAATGTCCCTGTCGAGCCGACCACCCGGAAATGCAGTCAGCGCGCCCTTCTTCTTCTTCGGCAAAGAAAGGCCTTTCCCCGGGCCGCGTCGAATGATGGGCGCTGACACGCGTGGGAACGCACCGTCGCACTGGGCGGGGCGCTTGAAGCCGCGCAGCAGTGCTTGTGCCCATATGTTTGTGGCCTTGAGTTAACCGCATGCCGATGATAATAAAGGGACCCCCCCCCCCCTTCAGTGTTTAGAGTTGATTATCGTCGCCCTATACAAAATTCAAATTGGGCGGCGAGCGCTGAGGCCGAACTTCATTATCACCTCGAAACGCTATGTTGAGATAGCAACATCAAGCGATGTTGATATAGCACTTCTCTTCTTCTCTTCTTCTTATTCTCTTCTTCTTCCTTATTATTCTTCTTTCCTTCTCATCTTATTATTATTCTACTCTCCTGTTCTTCTTGTATAGTTCTATCTCTCCCCACGCTCGCCTGAACTTGATTATCCCCGGGGTTGATTATCCAGGGGAAGTGAGGCACATGAGCTACCCTACACGAGCACTTAAAAACATCAATTTTCACAAAGCGCTTGTAAATCTAATACATTCGAAACTTGTTTGTTTAGTTGTGTTCTCTTCTTCTCTTCTTCTTCTCTTCGTATTCCTGCTTCTTCTTCTCTTCTTATCCTCGGATTCTTCTTCTACTCTCCTCTTGATCATCTCTTACTTCGAGATTATGCTGAGGTCTGCTGGGCTACTTTTTATTATCTCTCCCTGAACCCCGAACTTTATTATCCCCCAGTGTTTATTCTCACGGGCATGAGGTTACCAAAGCCCGGGCGATCAACTGGGCGCCCAACGATCGGCGATCCTGGCCGCGCAGTACGATCGCGAATCTGATCGGGGCGAACTGGGCGGGGGATCGGCGCTGCTCTCGAACGGCGGCGAACGCCCGATCGCCCCCAAGCTGTCGGCGGGCGCGCGGGCCAGATGAGGCGCGCGATCAGGCATCGAACAGCGATCGCTGAGCACGCCGCGCGGAAACCACGCGCCTCTGCCTGAGACTAGCGACGCCGCCCTCCTGCTCAGCGCGATGAACCTGCATGCGGCGCGCGAGGCGGCCCCGCCTGTCACCGTTGAACTCCTTGACGGCGCACGCCAGGCATCGCCACGCTCCATCGGGGCGCAACTCTGTCAGCATGTCGCCCCTCTGAGCTTTGCCCTGCCAGGTGCCAATCCCCGCATGCACGGCCGCGCAGAGCTCTGGCGGCCATCGGCCAACGCGGCGCCCCGTGGGAGAAGACGCAGGCATGGCATCGGCGGCCTCAATCGCCGCGCTGGCGGCGCAGGGCCCGCGGGGCGCGCCAGCGCCCGCGGCTCTGGCAACCGACTTTGATCCGAAACGGCCACGCAGGTGACGCCGCCGCGACGGGGCGGAGCCACCGACGCCCACGGTGAGTCTGAGGGAATCCGGCACACGAGCACACGCAACACTAACGAGGTAGATGGCGAGCCTCGCAGGCAGGCGGGCGCTTGGATCTGTCGCGCCACCTGGCGGCGCCAAATCACCGCGATGGCATTGCGCTGCGGCCCAGATAATGACGCATGGAATACGCGATGGCGCGGCGGCGGCGGCCTAGCTGAGCCCGGTAGCAATGCTATGCGCACAGGGTTCCAATGCGCGTTGTTTGTCGGTTCAAGCCAACGAAAATGCCTCCCGCGGGACGCTTACGAAAGCGCATCGCACTCTGCGCCCCCCCCCCACCCCACCCCCCACCCCCATCTCACGCGCGGACCTGATGCTCATTCCGCCATACCTGCACCTGTCGCCGTCCATCTCAACACAAAGCTCTTCGATCCCTGGCGGCTCGTCGCCGTCGTCGGGGGCGGGGCTGTCGTCGCCGCCCAGCTCCGATGCAAGCTCGGTCAGCAAGTCGAAGTCGTCGTCGGGGGCGGCGGTGCCCTCGGCGTCGGTGCCCTCGTCGATGGACCCCCCCCTCGCCCCCCTCCTCTGCGCCGTCCTAGAGAAAACTCTGGTCGCCCGCATCGACGCAGTCGTCGGTGCTGCCGCCGTCGCCCCCCTCGCCCTGCATCGCTGCGTCGGGCCCACCCTGAATCGCCGCGTCGCCCCCCCCCCCCCCCACACACGCATCGCGCCGAGGGCGCACTCCTCCGCAAGCGGCCAGTAATCTCCCGCGGCCAGCACGCGCACGAGGCAGCCGCGGCACACGCGGGCGGCAAAGGGCACCCTGCGGATCCGAGCACGCGGTCGCAGACCTCGCACTGCATGGCTCTCGGCTGGCCGCCGAGCGCGCGCGCGACACCTTTGAGCCTCGAGCCTACAGCGGGAAGAAAAAGAATGCGCTGCCACGGCGCCAATAAAACGGCAATGATTTAATACCCTTGAATACCGCGTAGGACGCTCGCTGGGCCACGGCGGGCTAGCGGCGATCCACAGAGGCGAGGGGGGCGATGAAGACGAGGTGGAGGAGGAGGGAGGAGCAAGAGGAGAAGTTGGAGGAGGGAGAAGGAGGGGGCGGAGGAGGAGGAGGAGGAGGAGGAGGGAGGGAGAAGGGGGAGGAGAAGGAGGGATGGGGGGGGGAAGAGAGGGAGGAGAAGGAGCAACAGAAGGAGGTGGAGGAGGGAGGAGGAGGAGGAGGAGGAGGGGGAGGAGGAGGAGGACGACGAGGAGGGGGGAGGGGAGGAAGGAGGAGGAGGGCGACGAGGAGGAGGAGGAGCAGCAGCAGCAGGGGGGGGAAGAGGAGGAGGAGCAGCAACAGCAGCAGCAGGAGGCGGAGGAGGGGGGGGAGGAAGAGGAGGAGCAGGAGGAAGTATAGGAGGAGGACAAGGAGGAGGAGAAGGAGGAGACGGAGGAGGAGGGGCAGGGCCAGCACGAGGAGTAGCAGCAGCAGGAGGCGGAGGAGGTGGAGTAGCAGCAGGGGGAGGAGGAGCAGCGCGCCCCCCTGCCCTGCTCAGCCAAGAGAACCCACGGTCTCGCCAGCAAAAGAACAGTATTACGGAAGGACAGTAGGGAAGCAATACAGAACATAATATGGTGGATCATGAGGAAAGAGTTTGCTACGACCCGTTTAGCATTTCGCCCTAAGAGAGCGCTGCGCCTCAACGCGCGCATCGGGCGCTACGCTCGCCCGAAGAGCCCTGCGCCCAAAGAGAATCGGCGCCGCGCTGAACAAAGCAGGCATTGCGCCTCAAGACACCCCCGGGCATTACGCCCACCTGAAGAGCTTAACGCCCAACGTTCTAGGGCATTACACTCTGCCTCCTAGAGCATTGCGCTCTTCTCCCCGACTGCAAAAAAAAACACTGGCATTACGCCCTGCTGTGGATCCCCCCTCATCGCCCCCACCCTAAATATGCGTTGCGCCTTCGACTACGCCCTGAGCATTACACCCACGCGAAGAACATTGCGCCCTGAGTTATATGGGCATTACACTCCAAGGTGATGATCATCTGGTCGCAATCTCTCCTCCGAAACGCCGCCGGCATGGGTTCGCTCGCGGGGTGGCCTGCCTGCGGGCGATGGCGGGAACGAAGGGGGTATCCTGATCCGCCCCCACCTTGCCCCCTCCTCCATCTCCTCCTCCGCTTCCTCCTCCACGCTGCAAAAATTGTCGCCCCCGCCCCTCTTCTACGTCCTTGTTCCTGCCTACGCTCTGCGCCAACGGCCACCAAACACTGTTATTTTCTGTGAGTTCTATACCCTCATCAAGCGAACGGCCGCCAGACACTACTATTTTCTCTCATTTCTTGAGCCTCTACGATTCCCCCAACCATTCAGGCCAGCCTGCAATGGTTGCGGGAATTTTAGAAACTATAAAAATTATAGGAATAGCAGCGCTTGATGGCCAGTCGCATTAGGATGTCATGCAAAGTACACAGAATAGCAATGTCTGGCGGCCGCTAGCGCACAGCGCAATGAGGAAAGGGCGCGGAGAACACGAGTGGAGGCCGCCAGGTGGACCCCCCCAGGCGGCCGCCGGCACAGAGCACGAGGAGGAGGAGGAGTAGAGAAGAGGCACTTAACGCCACATAATCTTGACTACATCAACCTCACGGGGGGGGGCATTGGAAAACAGGGGGGGGCCGCGGGAAAAAAAGGGAGGGGGGGCCCTAGAGACCGGCAACTCATCATCAGCTAGGACTCCTATAGGGCAAGCCTATTTGGATAACCACGGGAATAACATTGAATTCCCAAACAAGCGCAGAACATTCGGAATACAACAAGACTGCAATACTTATACCACACAACTGAAATCCAACATGATTCCAATAAGAATAAGACTGCACTAAGCCTGAAATATGAACACCATAGAAATACAATGGCAACGCACAATGGCTACAAGTGGAAGTCAGTCGAAATCCAAAATACACGAGTTCGTGCCCACTTTCCTAACGCAACCACAATTCCGGCAAAATACAGAAAGAGCACACGAAGGCGACGTGTGATTCTGCGTCGACACGAACACGACTGCCTGCATCGAACCATCCTGAAAGGCACTGCCGACGCACTGGTCGACCATGCCCCACGCGGAAGCGCCCGACAGGGGGCGGGGGGGCCCTTCCCCCCGAACGCACGGGCCATTACTAAGGCGGCCAAGCGCGGGCAAGCGCCGCCAAACGGCCAGACCGACGACGGGGGGGGGCCCATGGCCCGACGCGGGCCCCAAGCACTGGGCTCAGGCCCGCGCACTTGCGCTCGCAAACGAGGGGACCTGGGCCACCTGCTCGGTTTGGACCTCGACGTTTGAAACTCCTTCCATCCGCGGCTGCGCCGCCACGCGTTACTTCGCGTTCAATCCGCGGCCGCGGTCGCCTCGTTTTTCCTGGCGCGCGGGGCCGCCCACTTCGGCGGCCATTCAACTGCGCCGGATTTGCGCGCGCGCGGGGCCGCCCGCCTCTCGAATACGCGCGCGCGCGGGCGGGCGGGGAAAAGGAAAGCTCGGCACTGCGCCGGGGCGGGGGGGGTCCGCGATGCGCTCCGCGCTCTCTGCCGCGCGCCCCCGGGCGGCGGCGCGCGGTCTCCCCCCCCCCAGCAGGCCAGCGCGCCCAGCCCCGCCCTGCCCCAAGCCGCGGCAGGCTAGACCGACGGGGAGCGGGCGGGCCCTTCCCCCCCGAACGCGCGGAGCACCTCGCTGCGGCCCACGCGGGGCAGCGCCGCCGAACGGCCGACCCGCGCACGCGGGGAGAGGGGGGGCGACGCCCGACACGGGCTCGGCCCTCAGTCATTTGTTGCGCGGCCAGGCCCGCAATTAGTTGCGCCGCCCCCCGGCCAGGCGGGACTTCCCTGCCATGCGCATGGTTGTCTGCAGGCGCGACCCGAGGATGACGAGGATGTGCCGCGGCGCTCTGCGGAGCGGCTCCGGCGCGGTAGCTGAGGCCGACGCCGGCCCTGTTCCGGCGCAAGGCGCCTCGAGAAATCGCCTGGGCGCTGCTGGAGGATCCCAGGAAGTGCGCTGCGCACTGGCGCGCGCCATGCAATGGTCGCTCTGCGCACGCTGCGCCGCATGCGCGCGCGCCCCGCGGCCGGCCCAGCCGCGCAAATGGTTGTCCACAGGCGAGACCACGCGCGCACCTAGCCGGATCGCCGCGATGGCAGCGCGGCACGCCTGTGCTGCGAGCCCTGGGGCGCGCGCTTGCGCTGGACCATCATCCGCTTGCGCGAGGCCCGCGGCAGCCTCGACGATGGGCATCCACCTATACAAGTCCGGAGCGCCGCGCATGGAGACGATCAGGACCAGCACCCCCGTGGCCGCGCACAGACCAAGCCGTCTTGTCGTAGCTCCCGGTGTCGAAGCGGTCGCTACTATTACTACAAGGACGACGACGACGACGACGACGACGACTACTACTACTAATACTACTACTATACTACGACTACGACTACGACTACGACAACGACGACTACTACTACTACTACTACTACTACTACTACTACTACTACTACTACTACTACTACTACTACTACTACTGCTACTGCTACCACTACCACTACCACTACCACTACCACTACTACTACTACATACGACGACGGACGACGACGACGACGCCGGACGACGAGACGACACGACTAAGGACTCCCGCCTACAACTACTACTACTTACTACTCTTCCTTATACGACTACTACTACTGACTCCTACTTACCACTACTCTACTATACTACTTACTACTAATACAACTAACAACTACAAACTACTATACTTACTACTCCTACTACTTATACTACTTACATACTACTACTACTTACTACTACGGATACGACTAGATTACGCACGACTACTACGACTACTACGACTACTACTTCTTTTTTACTACTACTACTACTTTTTACTCTACTTCACTTACTACTACTACTACCTACTGTTTTTATTGATATACTTCAAGTAAAATATCTATACTACTAATAATACTTACTACTCTACTCTAATCTACTACTACTGCTACTACTACTACTACTACTACTACTACTACTACTACTACTACTACTACTACTAATACTACTACTACTACTACTACTTACTACTACTACTACTACTACTACTACTACTACTACTACTACTACTACTACTACTACTACTACTACTACTACTACTACTACTAGGGCTGACCGGGGGATGGTGGCCGGGCAGTTCGTCCGTGAGACGACTTAAGGGTGGTGATGGAAGTTTCGCGTTTCCAACGGCTTTAACACACAAAAGGAAGATTGTGGGTGTGGGTGTGGTTGTGGGTGTGGGTGTTGGTGTGGGTGTGGGTGTGGGTGTTTCATGTATGATGTCTGATGATGAATGATGATGTACGATGATGTGCGATGATGCATGATGTTGTACGATGATGTATGCTGATGTATGATGTTGTACGATGATGTATGATGATGGATGATGATGTGCGATGGTGTATGATGATGTATGGTGTTGTACGATGATGTATGATGATGTATGATGTTGTAAGATTATGTATGATGATGTATGATCATGTATGATGATGTATGGTGAAGTATGATGGAGCATGATGGTGTATGAGGATGTATGATGAGGTATGATGATGTATGATGGCGTATGATGCTGTATGATGACTGATGTGTGGCGTTTGATTGTGTTAGATTTATGGTGGTCGATGGTGTATGATGTTGGATGGTTGATGTTAAATGTTGACTGATGTCGGATGTTTGGTGTTTGATGTTTTATGTTAAAAGATGTTGGCTGATGCTTGATGTTTGATATTTGATGGTTGTTGACGTTTGATGTTTGATGATTGTTGATGTTTGATGTTT